GCCCGGCTCCGCCTGCAGCAGGGCTCGCAGCCAGACCTGGGGGTTGTGCTGTCACTGGGTCCTGCTCCAGCTTCCTTCTGGCCAACTGTCTTGCTGGAGAACCTTCCCCGTGTGTCCTGTGAGAAGGGAAGCCCAGGCCAGCACGATGCTGTGCTTTCACCCTTCATCTCCCAGCCTGGTTTTGTTTATTTTTTTTTGCAACTTCAGCTGTTTCAGGGCTGTTTCTCTCTTTCTCTTTCCGTCCCTGAAGTGCAGGTGTTTGAAGAGCTGCTTTTAGACGCTGACTACAGCATCAACGCAGGGAACTGGATGTGGCTGTCGGCCAGCGCCTTCTTCCACCAGTACACGCGGATCTTCTGCCCTGTCCGCTTTGGGAAGCGCACGGACCCCGAGGGGCACTACATCCGGTAGGGCGAGGCACAGGATGGGACCGTCTGCCCCGTTAGAGCTTCCCTGGCTCCTCTTGCAGCAGCAGCTGGTGAACTCGGTCTGTTTGAAACATAAACCCCTGTGAAACGGGCCACAGCAGTGATTTTATTTAACACATAAGGAAACTGAGGCACAGAGAACCTGTCGGTTCCAGACCCTGTTTGATCACCAGGCTGACTTCTCTTCCTAAAGGACTTCAGTCCAGTCTGAACACTTCTGTCCAGACTGGACACAGCTCCGGTCTGTGCTGTGTTTCTCGGTTTTGTAGGCGGTCTGATTCATTTCAGACACTTCAGTTTCATTTCTCACTCTTGAGTGAGTCCTCTTTGCTTCAAACTTTCACTTTCCTTATCTCTACATAAGGTACTGATGGGCTTTCTTGTAAGTAGGGAGTGATTTTTGCAGCTGACCAGAGCAAACAACTCCTTTTCCCCTCATCTCCTCTTCCTCACATCCTATCTAGCTTCAGGTTTTGTCAAGGGGAAGCCCATACCTGACAGAACAAGGCAGAAAATTACTTTCCCATCCTTTAGGAATCTGTTAGATTTTTAAAACTAGTTTGGTTTTGAAATTTATTGAAGTTCAGGATGAAACGTCAGTGAAAATGTTAAAAGCCGAAATATTTTGGATGAAGTCAAAACTGAAGTAATGTTTAAATCAACCCATTTTATTCTATGCTGTAAAGTTAACTTTTGGAAGATACCACCCTATGGAGGTTTCAGAACACAGAAATAGGGTTTTACTTGTGCAAAATGAATCAGCACTTTCCCATGGATTGTAGTGTCAATATGATCACCAAGAATTAACATGGCATAAGTTGGTTTATGCTTCTATTAAAGGTATGAGTATTTATCTGCAGGCTTATAAAACCCCATATTATTCCTGTTTTGTAGGAAATACTTGCCTATACTAAAGAACTTTCCCTCCAAGTACATCTACGAGCCCTGGACAGCATCTGAAGAGGAGCAGAAGCAAGCGGGGTGTATCATAGGTAATTCATTTGGATACCGTGCTACGGATTTTGCTGCTGCTCACTGTCCAAAATAATCACATGCATGAGCTGCAGGCGTCACTCTTCCAACACAACTCATGCATTTATCTTCTGAAAATGGATTAAGCCAGCACTCTGCCTTCTTTTAAAGTTTTCTGCTGGAGTCTAATCTCAGAGTACATATTTTTGCCTCAACTTCATGTCCTAAAACTATCGGATCACTGTAGGTTGCTGACTTTGCATTGATCTGTCTCGGGTGCTTGGCTGTCTTTAAATAGGATCTGAACATCTTGTGCTTTTACACTTGCTCTAATGCACTTTGAGGTCTCTTACAAGCTTATGTCTCAATGGGAGCTCTTACTCTTTGATGGAGAGAAATTGGCACTTCTGCAGAGTGGGTCATGTGGTCTATTTTAGATGCCATTTATTTCAGGAGAAGCTGCAAGCTGGTGCAAATCCGGTGAAACATCCTTGATTAGGTCTGTAAAGGTCACTATCTCCATGTTGCACCAGGTCAAGATTACCCCTTCCCCATGGTGAACCACAAGGAAGCCAGCGACCACAACCTGCAGCTGATGAAACAAGTCAGAGAGGAGCAGTACAGAACAGCCCAGCTCACGAGAGGTAAGAGGTGCTGCAGCGCTGGATCACAGAATCATGTCGAAGCCATGGCTGGCATTCTGGTCCCAGTGGGTTGGAAGGGACCTCAAAGATCATCCAGTACCAATCCCCCTGCCATGGGCAGGGACACCCTCCACTAAACCAGGTTGCTCAAAGCCTCATCTAGCCTGGCCTTGAACACTTCCAGGGATGGGGCATCTACAATTTCTCTGGGCAACCTGCTCCAGTGCCTCAGCACCCTCAGAGGGAAGAATTTCTTCCTTAGATCTCATTGAAATCTCCCCTCTTTCAGTTTAAAGCCATTGCCCCATGTCCTGTCACTTCACACCCTTGCCCAAAGCCCCTCTCCATCTTTCCTGTAGCCCCTTTAGGTACTGGAAGATGCTGGAAGGTCTCCCCGGAGCCTTCTCTTCTCCAGGCTGAACAGCCCCAACTCTCCCAGCCTGTCTCCAGAGCAGAGGTGCTCCAGCCCTCGGATGTCCCATGTACTGTGATGCAGAGGCTGTCACCAGCTCTGAGGCTTGGTTTGGTGGTGATTTCCAGGACACCTTTCCTCTTGGTTACTAACACCGTGCACTGCTCTTCTAGTTACTGTTAAAATGATGTCCCAAGAGAGAAAAACCAGAGGTTGAGGAGTGTCCCTCCTCTTGTGGCTGCTCTTGCAGGTTGGGAGCTGGCTTGTGCCTGCTGGAGGAATGCCTTCCCAAAAGCAGACCTTCTCTACCTTCTGTAGGTCTGCACAAAGAGACTCCTCAGCCCCCAGGTTTGCCAGGCGTATCTCCAGGGTGCAGAAATCTCTGCAGCCCTGCCCACGCTTCTTGTGAGCCAGAGTGTTGTTGTTTCTCCTTTTTGCTTCATTTTGGATTAATTATTTGAGATTCCAGCTGACTGCTAATAAGTGAAAAGCCGTTAAGAGCTCACTTGCTCTAAGAAGTTCACCTTTTGACGTTGTTTTCTAAAGAGGTTAAGCACACACATAATAAACTGGTAGTTACCAGGTAAGGCTGGAACACTCAGAAGAGCCTGAATTAATTAGATCTTTCCAGTCACACAGATGTTTCACTTACGTGGCACCGTGCTCTTAAAATTGAGATCCCAGGACCCGTGGTGAGCTCTTAGTCTCAGAGGAATCCTCTGCAGGAAGGGAAGTGAAGCAATGCTTTTGTGTTCAACAGTATGGCGTAGCAGCCTCGTAGATACGGCAGAAATCCAACATGCAGCAGCTGAGGGGAGCCTTAAGTATTCCTGCCTTAATTGCCCCAGTGGGATGGAATTAATCGTTCCCAATCCTGTGCATACTAATGTGTCCAGGAAGTTGCACACTGGTGCCTTCCAGATATAACCAATGTGTGCTGCCAGCTCTTCCACAAACCCTGTGGTATTGGGGAGTAAATGCGGTGGCTGCTGCTGGAGATACGGAAAGCCAAAATCTGACAACCAGAGTCCCTTAGTCATAGAAGCACAGAATGGTTTGGGTTGGAAGGGACCTCAAAGATCATCCAGTACCAATCCCCCTGCCATGGGCAGGGACACCCTCCACTACACCAGGTTGCCCAAAGCCTCATCCAACCTGGCCTGGAACACTTCCAGGGATGGGGCAGCCACAGCTTCTCTGGGCAACCTGCTCCAGTGCCTCACCACCCTCAGAGGGAAGAATTTCTTCCTTAGATCTCATTGAAATCTCCCCTCTTTCAGTTCAAAGCCATCGCCCCAGGCCCTGTCACTACACACCCTTGTCCAAAGCCCCTCTCCAGCTTTCTTGTAGCCCCTTTAGGTACTGGAAGGTGCTGGAAGGTCTCCCCGGAGCCTTCTCTTCTCCAGGCTGAACAGCCCCAACTCTCTCAGCCTGTCTCCAGAGCAGAGGTGCTCCAGCCCTCGGAGCATCTTCATGGCCTCCTCTGGACCCGCTCCAGCAGCTCCCTGTCCTTCTGATGTTGGGGACCCCAGAGCTGAACGCAGCACTGCAGGGGGGACTCAGGAGAGCAGAGCAGAGGGGCAGAATCCCCTCCCTGACCTGCTGCCCACGCTGCTTTGGATGCAGCCCAGGACACGGTTGGCTTTCTGGGCTGCCAGCGCACATTATTGGCTCATGTTGAGCTTCTCAGCGTTGTTCTTGGTGCCTGTAAACAGAAGCATTTCCTGCCGTTCTCTGTAACTTCACCTGCCCCGTCATTGCGGGCTGTTGCGCTGAGGTCCGAGAAGGACTTGCACACTTGGATTCTTCTTTCCTTCCTGCCGTAGATGATACAGATGACCCGATGGAAATGAAGGTGAAGCGTGACCACTCTGAAGACAACTTATCTAAAGGAAAAGTGGCCAGGATGAGAGAACAAACCGAGCTCCCGTCAGGGATTACCAGTTGGGAACCAAAAACTGGCAGGAGGGGAGAGCCAGAGGCCAGCTGAACTGGACAAACTGGTCTCGGTGCTTGCAGCTGGTGCCTCTTGCTTGCGAAGACCTCCAAGAAAAGTGTTGTGTCTCGAACGTGCTTGTTAGTGCAGTTTTTTGAAGGAAACTGTCCGTTTGTGAGCAGCTTACGAGCTGTTCCTTGCAGCTGTTCTGTGAACTCAAGTAGCGACCGTTTGGTAGGACATTTTGCTGTAGCACCCTTCAAATCCACTTGATGTTCATGCATCTGTAGAAATAGTTTTAAGGATAAATAGTAGTCTTTCCAACACGCCAGCTAAGTGTCCCTTGAAGGTCATAGCACGTTAATGTGTTGACACGAGCGTCAAAAGCGTGCTGTGCCTGTCGTGTAGAGACGGAGACTCGGGGATTTTCAGATACGGTTTTTAAGTTCACAATTTGTGCTCGTGGTCCCCAGTTTGGGGAGGGACAGCAGAACGCAGCCCGTTGTAAGGTTGTGTGGACTCGGGGATTTTCAGATACGGTTTTTAAGTCCACAGTTTGTGCTCACGGTCCCCAGTTTGGGGAGGGACAGCAGAACACAGCCCGTTGTAAGGTTGTGTTTGGTTCTTACAACTGAAATGGGACTTCTTACGCATTTTTAAGGGTAACGTTGCGAAACGTCTCACTGAATTAGGGCTGATGTACAACTTTCTTCACCATAACTCTCCTTCTTGGCTAATTCCTCTAGAACTGTAGGGCAGATATTATTTCTATCGTGTGCCACGTGTAAAAATGTACCCTTCCATTGAAATGCCTCGTTGTGAAGTTTCACAAGGCCGGATTAGTCAATTATCTTTGTTATGGTTGAGGTTTTGGTGGGGGGGAGGGGGGTAGTGGGTTTTTAATCACTGTAGGTACTCTTTTTGTTTTTAAAAGCAATAAAAATGATTTCTAACAGGAAAAACGTAAGGTCTGTAGAGTAATCGGTGGTCACAATTGGCATCCATCAGTCCTCTATGGAAACCTGGCTGCAAGACAGCTCCAGCACCAATCCAATGCACCCAAACTCCTTCACTTTGGAAGCACCCAAGGACCTGGTGCAGAAGCAGCACAGGACCCATGTGCACCAGGAGGAGATGTGCTGGGTTTATGGGAGGGGCTGCAGAAATGGCCTCTGTAAGTAGCAGTGAAAAAGCTCAATGTGCTGGCTTTACGGGATGGGGTTTTGGCAGCATGGGAGGGGTTGTGGGAATGGTCCCTGTAAGGAGCTGTGAAAAGCTTCCCCAGCTCCAAAACTGGCTGGACTGGTGAGACCCTCCCCATGCCCTCAGGCCAGGGTTGAGCCAACCAGCACCTCTGCGAATGCCCTCTTTAAGACCGGGACAAAGGAGCCTGAACGGAAGCTGGACCTACACTGAAGAGAGAGGGGATGCAGGGACTGGCCCCTGGCCTCTCAGGCCGGTGGCTGCCCACACTGGGCCACCACTACCTGACTGGAGATGGCTGCAGCTCCAAAGCACCCCACTGCTGGGACACCTGTTGGGAACAGTTCGACTTGCTGGGACTGCTGGGGTTCCTGGAGAGGACTGAGACCTGAGAGAAACGGCCATGCAGACACCAGGGTCAGTGAAGATGGAATGGGAGGAGATGTGCTGGAGATGACAGTTCCCTGCAGCCATGGGAAGATGGCAGGTGGCCCCCCTGCAGCCCGTGGAGAACCCCATGCCAGAGCAGGTGGCAGCTCCCTAGAAGAGGCCCACACCGGAGCAATCTGATGGGTCAGGATTGCATCCTGCGGGAAGGACTCACGTTGGAGAAGTCTGTGGACTGTCCTGTGAGAGGGAGATCCATTGGAGCAGAGAAAAGAGTTTGAGGAGTCCTTCTCCTTTGGGAAAGGAGCAGCAGAAACAACGTGTGATGAACTGATCTGCAGCCCCCCCATTCCCCATCCCTCTGCGCTGCTGGAGGAGGAGGTAGAGCCAGGAAGAAGGGAGGGGTGGGGGGAAAATGGTTTTGAGACCTGGCTTTGTTTCTTATTGTCCTCTCTGAATGAGCTGCTAACGAATTGAATTGATTTGTCCCCGAGCCAAGTCTGTTTTGCCCGGGGCCATGGTCGGTGGGTGCTCCCTCCCTGGTCCCATCTCCACCCTCAGGCCTTCTGTTCCATTTTTCTCCTCTCCACCGCACTGAGGGAGAGGGGTGAGTGAGCGACCTCATGGTGGCTGAGCTGCCGGCCGGGCTAAACCACGACACGAGGCCAAACTCTGCTCCTAGAAGCATCTTCCAACGCTGCTGCTGACCTGCAAGACCCATCGGTGAAGCGCACAATGGCAGCAGAGCAGTACTGCCTTCTGCTTCTAACGGAAACACAAAAGCTCCAAGGACTTTGAGACCGATCCGAGAGGCTGGTCGTACCCTCCCGCTGCGCCCAGCCTGCACTGAGCTCCTGCAGGTGCTGATGTTACTCGACGTTTTAGCTCTTCAGCAAACCTAACGATTTGCAAGGATGACCAGAATGAAGGGTGGTCACCGAACCCTTTATGAGAGGGAGAAGGCCAATGCCGTGCTTGTTACTTTGGGAAGATGACTCCTGCTCTGAAGCCTCCTGGCATCCATCATCCTTTTAATTGGGTTCCTTCCAGCACGTCAAGGCA